TGCCAGTCCAGAGGTACTGTCCCCAACCTCCATGCGATGTTGAAGAAACGTGTCAGCCAAGACAGCCCAATATCCAGAGACTTAAGATACTCAGGACGAATCTCACCCACCCCTGGAGCCTTGCCACCAAGGAGCTTGCCAACCACCTCAGTGACTTCAGCCAGGGTAATGGGTGAGTTCACCTCGAGTCCCCAGTCTCTGCTTCCTCTTCAGAAGATGTGATGGTGGCATTGAGGAGATCCCCAAAGTATTCCTTCCACCGTCCGACAATATCCCCAGTCAAGGTCAACAGCTCTACCCCCGCACTGTAAACAGTGTCGGTGAAGCACTGCTTCCCCCTCCTGAGGTGTAGAAAGTAGAACAGCGGAGTTCCTGGTCGGTCTAGTACTCCTTCCAGGGACTTCAAGAAGGCCTGTTACTCTGCACTGCTGTTCGGCCCGTATAGGTCAACACCAGAGTACTGGAGTAAACGTGGCGGCTGAGCTGTGGGGCTATAAGCAAGTCCACACCAGCCTGCCACTGCCTAATTATTAACCTAATGATTAGGTTAATTTACGTATATAAGACCCACCCAATCAAAGGAACTCAGACTAAACCCACTGCTCCTTCACAACAACATAATATAATCTAGTACATAGGCAGGACAACACTGCAGTAATTAGGAACTGGTCTGGACATGTAAATATGATTATGGTGGAACAGCTAGAGTTTGACATGAGGAGCTATTTTGAGAACCAGGCTACTGCTTGTCACTGTATTCACACACCATTGGAGACTATTCTATTCCTGTAACATGGCAAGAGTTTCAATATTCCATCTGGGCAGATTTGTGAGGTAATGTTCTGATAAAAAGCCAGTCTTCCTCTGTCCGAGTCAAAGTCTTTTTCATTTAGCTGCTAACATTTCTATCTCCCCACACAGCAGTCTCATATACTCCACTATACTGTACCCCGCGGTAACTCTTGAAGTGTTAATAGACTCGTTATGATTGAGCAGCTGACAGCCAGGGACCGCGCGTGCAGTAGGTGTACAGCACGAGCCCACTCCATGCGTTATGACGCACGCTGACAGGCGCAATGATGGAGAGTGCTACGAGAAATGAACACCGGAGCACGAGCGGAGTGGGGAGGCTGGGGAAAACACGTCCAGTTATTCAGACACGTATAAAATAGCCGCTGTTTAAATGTAATTAGTTCCAAGAGCGTGACATTTGCGATTGGAGACGTCTGACGCTGACTGTGCGTAAAAATGAAAAATCATATATGTACGTCACAGCTATCAAAATGGAAATACTGGCTCCACTTCTCTCATCACCTTCACTCGCATCTCCTAAAGGCACAAATGATGTCTTTGTATGTAGCCTACACGTTATCCCATGGAACCAGTCCGCCCTCTAGTGGACACACGCCAAAACGCAGGCATCCAGGTTTGCATTGTGCTGAAGTGACGCTGACTGTGAAGTTAATCAGCATTCACCAGCGGTTTGCCTTAATTACACCAAATACTGCACGATGCGCGCTGTGCTGAGAGGCTGACGGCGGCAGTATGGGGGTAATTAATCCCGAGCAGAGCTGAGAAGGCGATGTGCGTTTAGAGACTGCAGAAAATGTGACAAACTGTAAACTACCAACTCATTATCACCCACACAACACTACGAGAGTATCTGGGCTAGATCAAGCCAAAACGGGAAAGGGCATTATATAAAGTCAAGTTTAGACACTGGGTTCAGATCAGAAATGGACAAAAAGATTCATAATATTGAACTTGTGCAATAGTAAGCAAAAATAAATCACATTTTAGTGTATATTTTAATGACCAAGCAAGGTAGCAAGGTCCTTTATGATGCATCATTGACTCTTGTGAGCTTTAAGCTTTGCTCGTATGCTGTTACCTCCTCAAAAACATACCTGGAGTTGTATTTTGTTTCATTCACACATGTTTGAGTAATCCTGCATTATTAGTCTGTTTACATTGCCAACTGTAGTTTTCATGTTAACAGCTCTTTTTACATTTTTTATTCAGAAGACATTGGCAATTCCAGGACTGAAATGATCCAAATGATTCCTTAGAAGGTGTGTGAAGATTAAAAACACAGTGAAGCATTTCCTGTATTACCACGTGACATCACAAAGTGGAACAGAGTGTTTTCTGTTTGAGAGAAAAACACCGCCTAAATATGCAAGTTTCTGTGTGAATGAAACAAAACACAACTCCAAATATGCTTGTGATGAGGAAACAACATTATAACATAGATAAAAAACAAACAAACAAACAAACAAAAGTAATATAAGCCCTTTAAACTTCAATGCACACACTATACACTTCCTATAGGCGAGGTCGTTGACGTGTCTTGCTCAATAACACAAAAACAGTGTGTGTAAACTGCAACTTGCAACTTCTGGGTTTGTGGGTGAACATTAGTGATAATTAATTTGTAACAAAGTGTAACAATGTCAAGGAAAATAATTAACATACAAACCTTAATTAATTCCATCAAGCTAATACCGTAATTTAGCACTGTCCTTGCCTTTGCCGCCGAGCCTAAAATGTCCATGAGAAATAAAGACATCATTCTTCACTGACTCTAAAGTGTAGCTAGAGGATAACTGGCATTGCATTATTTGATTATGAAAAATGAAGAAAACCATGCTTTTGTTGCCTTGTGACAGCCCCAGTGTAATCCTTTTAAAATGTCAAATTATTAGTCATCTGTCATGGGCTTGTATATCCGCCAGAGCTGTCCAAATCCTGTACAGTGTAGCCCGCAGAGAGGAGTGGATTTTGTAAATAGAGCATGTATAATGATTGAGGGGCAGTAAAGAGCGTTCTGAGACATGACAACTTGCAACAAAATGCAGATAAATCATTGTAGTACTCCTGTGTGTACTTGCTTAATGGGCTGATAGGTGCATTTTAAGGTAAAGCTTCACTGGCACTATGTTAATGTGGTTTTAGAGGAAAGATGCAGCTATACTCTTGGAAATAAATGGTCAAAGATTGATGTTTCTGAGGTATAAAGTGCTACCACGGCCGAAGAAAGTCCAGACTGAAAGTGCTTTAAATCTATAAATCATGGCAAAACTAGATGTAAGCCAACCAGGATAAAGGACACATCCAGACAGGACAATGGGGAAAAACAGCTTCTTTCCAAGGAGATGTTGCCTGAAATGTTACACAGAATGGCATTAAACTTATTCATCTCTGTGGCAATAACAAGTGACACCATAAGGCCAAGTAACATGTCAAAACTGTGGAGAGGCGAGCCCACTCACACTAAGAATGCAACTTTTTAGGTCAAGACAAAACAATAAAATCTCCACGGAGACAAGCAGTTGGTGGATCCCATCACCAGTAAAATTCCACAGTGCACCTTTAAATAAACTTTAGAATATATTTTCATCCCCAAGAATACCAACATGAGAATCCTGTGTACCAGTTGGTCCCAAATATAGCAGTCATATCTTACCTTGTTTTTTGATGTTTAATGAAGAGGTTTATTTTGGGGAGCTGGAAGGGGAAAAACAACAACACAAAAATTGGTTCATACTGTTACTACAACATCATATTTACTGTGATTTATTGAATTCTAAGTTATTTCTTCAGGTAAATGTAGAATCTTTTTCTTTGAGCTGAATCTGCAACTTTAAAAGTGAGGCTCAGGAGCAGTGAAAAGAAACCAACACACACACACACACACGCACACACACGCTCAGACACACACACGCACACGCACACACTCAGACACACACACATGCACAAAGACAGGAGATTCAAACAATAGAATGAAAAATCCCATAAACTACAGACTAAATGGTTATACAGGTGTACGACGGTGGAAATGGAGTTGGAATTGCCTAAATATATTCAGCTATATATAGGCCATGTGGATGCATTTGTAAAAGGTGAATTTTTATGCAAATAGTAACTTTAAAATATTCATTCTGAGCATGTGGTGATTTTTTGGAGATATAATAAATCCACGTACATAGAAAACCTATAACTGTAAACTCAATATATAATGCTAGACCTGTGTATGTTAGTATTCAGCTGCAGATGTGTGTAGTACTGCAGTAGTAGGCCTATATGTAAATACACTCATGTATATGCAAACACCAGCTGACAGGCCTGGTTTACACAAGTACACACAGAAGTGTGCAGGTCTGAGCTGGAACCTGCAATAGCACCATAACTATTTATGGATGTATGCTAATTCATATTATATAGACTAGTGTGTTATTCAACAATGTAAACAGAGCCTTTAAAATGCTTTGTCATCACAATGCTGCAATGGACTGAAGGCAAAATGGAGGAGAAAATAATATATATAATGATTAATGAGTGATTTTAAATTCAAGAAATAATAAGCCACAACTGTCAATATTCTGTGTAGAATGTCATTCCAGTGTAGAAATGTAAGTTATTTTGGAGCTTCATTTCAACAGAAACGATGGATAAAATACATAAATATAAAACAGGTTATACATTCTAGGCTCAAATTTGTATTTTAATTTTGAAAAAGAATAATTTGTGATGACGTATGTAATAAACAAAAGACTCTTAATCTGTTAAATAAAGGTCATTAAAATAAATCTTTAGGTACAATGAAAAAATATTGAAGGGTCAACATTTATCTAATCAATTTTCCAGTGAAACATGGAAATAAAGATATTATCTTTATCAAAAATACTATGCATGTTTAAGGCTCTAAATAGATATAATATCACTTACATGTATCCAAGTCATTATCATGAGCCAAACCTCTCGTCATTTTTCATATATTCATGAGCTAATCCCATTTTCTCATTGAAACTGCTTTATGTTCCACTTCAGTTTTGCCTCCATTCTTATTAATGAATTGCAATAATACTGTAGCTGGTTATAGATACTTACCAACAATTTTAAAAGGTATAGCAAAGATACAGCACAATGCTCATGACTCCTGCAGTCTCCTGATCTTGATCTGGGTACAGGAACAGGCATCATGGACATTACGCACAATCTTATTTCCACAATAGTAAACACTTTATTTACAACACTGAGCATTTAATTACACAATATAAAAATGTCCGTAAATCTTTGGTTGTATTTGGCATTGAACTGTGACTTCCAGTTAAGAGTCCCGAGTCCTGTGTTCCATTTGTCCCTTTGTGAAGCTGCTGTGGCGATTAGCCCATCTGTCTGTATCCACAACACTGACTCACTCATTCAATTCAGTCTTTCCTTCTGGTGAGTTTTTCGGAAATTGCACCATTGAATCCCTGGTCGATCTCTCATTTCAGATTTACTTGCAATGAACCAAGGTCACTGCTTCTGCTGCAAAATCCGGAAAGCAATACACAAACTTGTTTGAATACACAAAAATATTAGTGTCTTTTATAATCATATTTACAGTTTCCTACATAAAAAGTAATTACCTGAATGAAAGAATAAAAGGCACATAATACAGATATATATTATATTTGGTGTGCATAGATATTAAGTCCTACATCAAAAAATGCTGAATACTGCAGAAAAAGGTGATTATTTCAGTAGTTAGTTTCATATTTATTTTGAATAGTTGCTTTAAGGGCCAATATTACGCTATTTTCTATGTTATAATGTTGTCTCCTCATCGCAAACAGACTCAGATTGTGTTTTGTTTCATTCACACTTGTTTAACACACAAATGCTGCACTGCTCCACTGTGTTTTTAAACTCCATTCACCTTCGCTAGATTCATTTGGATGATTTGAGACCTGGAATTGCCGATCTCTACTGAAGAGGTAACTGTTACTCAAACATCTGAATGAAACAAAACACAACTCCAGGTATGTTTTTGAGAGGTAAATAACATTATAACACGGCTTAAAGCTCACAAGAGTCAATTTTGCATTATATAGGAACTCTAAATATAGAAATGTATGTCTCAAAAACGTTAAGAACTTCAAAAACTGGGGTACCTGGCTGAAATATTGTGAATGAGACCAGTGTGTGCTGTCCATATCTAATAATAAAGTTTTATCCATAATAATCCCTGTAGTTTTTGAGAGCTTGGAACTAAATGCACACTTTGTCTGTTTGTGGTTTGTGATGCATCTTTAAAAAAGAATTTAAAAAATGCCAATCAACCAATGGAAACAAGCCATATGTTTCTTCTAGGTCTGTCACAATAACTTTTTTTTTTATCACAATAACAATAATACAAGATAATCCCAGACACCCTTTTTTAAATATACTGTATCATTAAAAGGCCTGAGCTGCACCAAATAAATAACAGAATATACCAATAATTATCCATAAAAGTAACTTATTTACCCTTTTACAGCTCAAATGTTACTCTATTAAAACAAAATTATGACAAATCTCTCCACAATCGCAAAAAAACAGTACACAATAAATACTAATCCTCAAAATATAATCTGGAAATAGGGATCTAATTATTTTTGCATTAAAGGTGAACTGTGTACTTTTTCTAGTGGAGGGTTCGTCATCTGCTTGTTTCCATGGAGATATCGCCTGGAATGTTCCACAACATGGCATTACGCTTATGTATCTGTATTTGGAGACAGAACAGGGTCAAAGTTATGCGTCATATCTGTGGAGGGGTGAGTCCACTCAGAGCAAGCTAATGCAAGTTTTAACGGTAAATAAAAGTAAGTGCAAGGTGGATACGTTTAATGCCACACTGGGACATTCAAGATAAACTATAAAATCTCCATGGAGACAAGCAGGTGGTAGATGCTCAACCAGAAAAGTTACACAGTGCACTTTTAAACTGCTGAAACACACTGAAGTTGCTTTTCTACAACTTTATAAAACTGTATTTTCTAATTCCTTGATGTAGGACTGTGAATAAAGTGCTTAGTTGAAAAGCTTTATTATAAGGTGTACACCCTGAATGCTGAAATGACTGAAATGTTGCATAAGAAAACTTTGGTCCCATTCTTCAGTCTGTACTAAAATCTCCCAGTAAAAACACCGGTCCCGTCCCTGTCCTGTAGGTGGCGGTATTTCTACTTGAGGTCTCCCACACAGATCTCCTCAGGGATCTTCTCTTCTGAAATGGAGCGCTCGGAGAGTTTGTCCAGGTATTCCATTTCGCTGAACCGTTCTGAGACACAGTGAGCCGTGAGCCGTGCCTCTGGGTCGTGGTCCCAACAGTCCTGGATGGAGGAGCAGATGAGCTGAATGCCCTGCAGGGGGAGCACATCAAAAGAGCAGCGTTAAAAAACATGTTTAAACTGTAATAGAGGAGCAGTATGTCACTTTCGGTTGGGGGTCCGTCACCTGCTTGTTTCTATGGATCTGAATGTTCCACAATATGGCATTAAAGAGCTTTACCTTACATTTATTCAATTACAGGTGGTTTTAAAACCTAGAAAAACAGGCATTCTGACTGTGAGCAGGGTTGCCTCTCCACAGATCTGACCTGTAACTTGGACTAGTTTGGTCTCCATAAAGATAAAAAGGTTTAATGCCATACTGTGAAACATTTCAGAGACAGCAATAAAATCTCCATAGAGAAAAGCATTTGATGGACCCTCCACCAGAAAAATGTGTTTTATTTTACTGTGTTTTTCTCCCAAGTATCCATTCTAAAATTTGATGATAACCTTAGAGGCACACTTGTCTGTACTACATAAATCCTTACACTACTACATACTTTTGTCTGCCCATCCAAATATTAGTAAATACACAGAGGTTCCAATTCTGAGCCCCTAACACCCTGAGGCCCCGGTGTGATTTCTGTTAGACCATTGGCGTAGGACCATAACATAACCTGGGATTAGGCTTTGCCACAGGAGCCCTTCTATCAAGGGACACAGGGACACTTCTCAAAATAAGAGGTAAGCAGAGACCTCAAACATCTGCACATTGGTCAATTTAACTGTAAGAAGGCTGTGCTCCTGTTGTTTTAAAAAGGGTAATCAGAATTGAACCTGGGTTGTTAGAGCATTAACCTGCAGATAAAGGACACACACAAGTCTGTCTCCTTCTCAGTATATGGCAGAGTTGAGGACTTGCAAATCGTGACTTGGACTTGAGTCAGACTTGAGTCACAATTTTTAGGACTTGAGACTTGACTTGATAAAATAGACAAGGACTTGGACTCGAAGGTCAGTGACTTGGGACTTGACTCGGACTTGGTGCCTATGACTTGAGAAGACTTGATGCTTAGACTAGTTGACAAAGGAACTGTTATTAAGCTCTTAAATCTTCACTCTTTCTGTTCTGATCGTAATAATATGCACTCTTGTCAATACATTTAAAAAGGAAAAAATTGCATTTCTACAACTCTGAGATAAATACTCATATATAAATACACCACGACTTTTAATGTACAATTTAGTTTAAAAATCATATAAACTGGAAAAATCTATAAAAGCTATATTTGGTATTTTGTTTTAAAGACTGGAAATTACTTGAAGCTCAAAGAAGATGACTTGGACTTGATTTGAACTTTTGGGCCAGTGACTCGAGACTCGACTTGGACTGGCCTGTCTTTGACTTGGGAATTGACTCGGACTTGAGGTCAAAGACTTGACACTTACTTGAGACTTGCAAAATGACTTGGTCCCACCTCTGCTATATGGACAGGACATGCCTCACGTGAAAGCTCAAAACCTCCAGAATTCACTAAGCAGCTGCACTAGAACTGATTAAAATGCCTATACAGGTTGAATTACTAATTTTGTTGAAATTTTGTTAAACTTTGTAGTTCCGCCCCCTCCCCTTGTGTGTACTACATAAATCCTTACAGTGTGGTTGGTCCATGAGTTTGGTATATCAGGGCGTCCTCTGTCTCTGACCACACTGTCCTTCATACTCTCCACACACGGGTGCTCGCGCAGGATCCCAAAGGGGGGCTCATACTCCTTCACCTCTGCAAAACAACATCACAAATATAAGTTTCACCATAACATAAGTCAATGAAGCACCGGTCGAGTGTAGTTTAACATACTCTAAAAGTTTAATGTAGACTTCAACTGCACCCAAAGGACTTCCTCCAGATTTGAGAGGCTTTAGTATCAGTCGAGAGTCGCAAAGGACAAGGCGATGCAGCTATAGAAAAACACTTGTTGTTCCCACATTTTAAACAGTGTTCTTCTCAGAGTCTCACAGAGCTGAAGCTTTGTGCAGAGCTCCTACACAAATACCAAAAGCTTCAAAGTTGTGTACAGTAAAGTTTACTCCAGGCCACAGCCCACAATGTTTGACAGACGAAACACAAAAGAGTTCAAAGATAGAAGAATAAATCTAGAAACTAACAAGATGAAAAAAAAAAAAAAAAATTCGAGTCGAATTTAGATATGCGTTTTTTATTTTTTGGGAGGAATGACTTGCTTAAGACAGGGGTGTCAAACTCAAATTCACAGAGGGCCAAAATTAAAAACTGGGACAAAGTCATGGGCCAAACTAAATATTTTAATGGAAAATTTCAACAACATCTCTTCTTTGGAGATATGTGATGTTAAACCTTTTCTAATTAAAATAAATGTTTAATAATAGTTCTGCTTAAACACTGAATCCAAAACAAACATAATATAAAATAATAACAACATTTTAAATAAATAATGTCTCTATAGCCTATCTGTAGCTGGCGGACCAGATCTAATACATATTTGATATAATCTCGTGGGCCAAATACAATTATATTTCTGGCCAAATTCTGTCCCCGGGCCTGAGTTTGACATATCTGGCTTAAGACAATGTGAAAAAGTTAAGCATCTGTATTTTATCTATTAAACTACATATCACAAAAGTGAATCTTGAGAGTTTTAAGTCATGTCATAATGCTGTTACCTCATCATAAACATACCTGGAGTTAGTTTTGTTTCATTCATCTGTGGAGTTTAAAAACACAGTGGAGCACTTCTTGTTTTACCATATGACATCCCAAGTGTTTTCAGTTTGAGAGAAGAGCTCAGCCTAAATATGCAAGCTTTGTGAGTTAAACAAACCAAACAAAACACAACCAGATCACAATTTAGTGTAATATGAACCCTTTCAGTGTTCCACAGTGTTGGTAACTCGGTAACCATGGAGACGAGCTGGTGACGCCATTCGGCCAAGTTTGAGTCTAATCTGTGGTGAGGTAATCTTGCTCACAGTAAGATTTCATGTTTTTAGTGATTTAGTGATTTTAGTGCTTTTTAATAAGAAAATACTTCTGTTATTGAGTAAATACAAAATACAAAGTTTAAATCCATACAGACAGTGCCCCCCCCCTCCCCTCACCCACAACTGTGTAAAAGTGTAAAAGTATTCTGGTATATTAAATAATAAGCTCAAATCAAACACACGTAAATCACACCACGTTTAGTACACAGCCAACTGTCTCTTTAACAGCTCTCAGACTCATGTCCTAACCTGTGCTCCTCCTGCCTGAGCTCTTACTCACTGAGCATTTAAAGAGGCATCTCTGCTCACTCAAGTATCTTCGTCTCTGTGACAGGAGCGATCACTACGAGATCAAAACATCTCATCTCACTTAACTCAGGAATGCTTTTCACTCATGGCTCACGGCTACTAAATAGAAAAGTATTAGTATAATAATTACAGGTACTATTAAAGCTTAAGTGGTGGAAAGAGTAACAAAAATGTGTATGGAAGTGTACAGTACTCAATAGAGGTAAAAGTACTACAGCCAAAATTAAACTTACAGGGCACATATTACAAAATTTTCTGATCTATGTTAAAATGTTGAAAACTACATGACATCACAAGGTAGAACAGAGCATTCTGAGCTACGGAGATGTAGACAGACTAATAATAAAGGATTACTCAAACATGTGTGAATGAAACAAAACACAACTCTGGGTATGTTTTGATGAGGTAACAACATACTAATACAAGTCAAAGCTCACAAGAGTCAATTTGGCAAAATATTAGACCTTTAAGTACAAAGCACACATGAAAAAAAAAATCTCAAAGTATTTTTTGACACACTTCTTGTGTCATTTAAGATCAATATTTTCCACAAAACATTAATTAAACAACTGAGACTACTGGGCTGTACTCACTAATTCATAAGTGCATGTACTCAAAAAAGTACCATTACCCAAAAATCAACTCTAATGATAGTAACATGAGTATTTGTAATAAGTTGCAGTCCATTCCTGAAAAATATAAAACCTACAAAAGAATAAATAGAAACTGAAAGATTTGTATAAACAAATATGTCAACAATTTCAGACTTTTTAACATATATCTTACTTATATATAGGTACAGTGCTGTGTGGGCTTCCTACAGCAGAACAAAGTGAGTGAGTCTGTACACGACTGGACTTGTTCTGCTGCACATTTATCTCCATCATTAAAGGCCCTGGAAATACAGACATGATTCATATAGAGCTGTGTGTGGAAGTGCATTATGGGAAAACCCTCCCACCTTTCCAACAGTTGTGACTCAGATGTGGAACAACAATTCTGAATAATTCGAGTTAATGTTTAAAAGGAAATGAACTCAAACTGCAAATATTTACGAAATCATTTCTGGTATCAAAAAGTTATCTGGTTAAAAGTCCCACATTATGCTATTCTCTGATCATCACAAACATATCTGAGATGTGTTTTGCTTCACTCACACATGTTTAACACTCAAATCATGCATATATATAGTTTGAATTGAACAGAAAACACCCTGTTTCACCTTGTGATGTCATGTAAGGAAGTGCTCAACTGTGTTTTTAAACTCCATACATCTTCACTAGAATTATTTGAATAATTTCAGACCTGGAATTGCCAATCTCTGCTGAACAAAAGGCAAAAACTATCACTACATGACATCACAAGGTGGAAAAGAGCATGTTGAGCTTTAGAGATATAGACAGACTAATAATAAAGAGTTACTCAAACTCATGTGTGAGTGAAACAAAACACTACACCAGGTATGTTTTTTAGGAGGTAACAACATTCTAAGATGGCTTAAAGCTCACAAGAGTCGATTTTGTCCTTTAAACATAAAATCATCTTAAAGAATATTTAAATCCAGCAGTGAAATCATCAAAGCATCGAGCAGATTGTAGCAGCAGTGGTTTTGAGGTCTGGAGCCCCACCCAGCCGTTGGCCAATATTTAACAGAGAGGAGACACATGTTTACTTTCTGTTATGACAGGTTAAAAGTACATTACAACTTCGGACGCAGTGAAAATCCACTTTGTAAACTCTCTATCTGAATATGTTTATGTCTTCATTTCCAAACAATAGCCTCCCAAATACAGAAATCCCAGCAGTGAGTGGGAGCGTGTATACAGACATGTAAGTTCACAATTGGGTCCAAGAGCCAGAGGAAAGGTTTTCATTGTGGGAAAATAAATTAAACTTTAAACCTGCCACTGCGATTTTCAAGCGAGGTGCTGCATGTGCAAAAAGTCACGTTGTACTTCAACAATGGTCCAGCAACAACATATGAAATAAAAGAGAATGAATAACTCCAGTCTGAAACAGCTAAAATAGAAATGTGTGAAATTTGCAAAACAGGCAAAAAGCAGGTCTTTACTGTGGGAAACTGCTGCCACAAAAAGGGAGTGAAATTTTGATGACAAGAAGATCTTAACAAATTCTCAAATCTTGAAAAACAAACAAACTATACAGGCTTCAAGGCTCTAAACATAAATATTGTTTTTCTATAGCAATGACAGTAAAAAATCTTGAACCTTAAATATTATAAAATGCTGGCTTTAAAGGAGCATTATGTAACTTTTCGGTTGGGGGTCCGTCACCTGCTTGTTTCTATGGATATGCGATTGCTGTGCCTGGAATGTTCCACAGTATGACATTAACAACTCTGCTTCACATTTATTCAATTACAGGGTTTTTTAAAATTCAAAAATACAGAAAAAAACAGGCATTCTGAGTGAGGTCGCCTCTCCACGGATCTGAGCTGTAACGTGGTTCGGTTTGGTCTCCATAAACATCGAAAGGTTGACTAGCATACTGCGAAATATTCCAGACAAAACAATAACATCTCCATGGAGAAAAGCATTTGATGGACCCTCCACCAGGAACGTAACACAATGCACCTTTAAATAAATGTCATAAGTAATTTTTTTCTTTGTTTTATGTTGATCCAAAGACCCCCAATGCATGTGAAAAGTTGTGCAGATTTATGTGTTGCTATGGTAATATGGTGTGATGAACTGCACTTGTGTTTCTTTCAATTGCACTAGCAGCTCCTGTGGTGAAGTTTACACTTGTTTGTGGTTAGTAGCAGCCCTTTAAAACCCTTTTACACTAATGAACAAAACACACAACAAGACCATTACTTTGGGTGAGACTTTGTCAGATTTCTTCCAGTTCTTCCACTTGTCCCTTCTGGGAAGTTGCATTTTGAAATGGTTTTAGATCTGATGCCCTCCCTAACTAGCCAGGCTGACACCACCTAGTGCCTCTGCTCAATTTCATTTCTCTCCTGCAACTAGGTCAGGAATCAGAATACACTAGATGGTTTGCAAGAACCCCGCAAGTTATAGACAGCGAAGAGCTGTGAAGCCATGACATCAAACTCAAGTGCCTGTCTGGGTCCCTTTTGTGGTACAGTACAGCAGTAAATGAGATCGAGGATTTAAAGCTGGAACAAAGAGGATATTTGGTGAACTAACTCAACCTTCTTCAATTTTTTCCTACAGTATTTCGTTTTTTCTACAGTATTTTTTGAAACAAGTTCAAATTTAAAGCTCTTACCTTATACAAAATTGATTCTTGTGAGCTTGTTTGAAGATTCTAGTGAAAGCCCATGAACTTTAAAAACACAGTGAAGCACTTCTTGTATTACCACACGACATCACTAGGAGGAACAGAGTGTTTTTCATTTCAGATAAGAACCCAAACCATAAATATGCAAGTTGTGTATATGTGTGTGTACACAACTCCGGGTATGTT